CAGCATCGAGGAGAACAAAGGATTAAAATTTTTAACATTGGATGTAAATTTTACAAGAAAATAATTTCTGACAATTTCAAAACAGGAACATCTGACAAAGTTCATACTCGCAAACTCGACGTGTTGTTCTTCTTGTTGTTGTGGCCTGTGCATTCGTTCAAAATTTAACAAAAATTTGTTAATCACCTTTTGGCATTTTTGCATCGCCTGCGACGACCAAACGCAGTTGAGCCAGCTGGACGAGAGAACGCTGCGCACTGTCGCATCTACGCATGTGCTCATGAAAAAAATGATGGCAACAAGATTCAACGGTAAGCACTGGCATTCAATTTGGTCTGCGCTATTCATCACCGACAGGTGCCAATGTTGAAAAACAAGCTTACCCAGGCGCACGGCACGGCACGGTGTGACAGGCTCGGAGCACCAGGGCTGCTTGACCCTCTTAGGACATGTCCGAGACGTGTCAAGAACAAGATGGGGCACAGTGACATGATTTGATGCCAACAGGTTTGTCGAGGCTGCTATGATTCATGTCAAGCAATACCTCGCGCCCGGCCCACTCGCTCATGACACCTGAAGCTAAATCAGCCTCCCCCCTCGCCCGTTCCCAAAACCCTCAGACCTGCTGATGCAGACCCCAGCAAACGACGTGCGAGCTCGTTTGAGCAGATTGTGATCAGGGCTGACGGTGAGTGCGGCATCGCGAGAATGTTTGTGAGACTGTCGACCGTTGTTCGATCCCATTTGAATGCAATGTTGACTGACACCTTTGACGGGATGCCAGGGCCGCATCCATGCATCGGCCCTCCATGCGGCAACTGGCAGGCCCGTCCAGTTGCGTTTGCTTGTGAACAGCGACAGTATATGCCGCCATCATATTGCCATCAGCTGACATAGATGTGTGCGCTGCCATTTGATTCGCCCCTACTCGGAAGATTAAGCCTCTCGAGCTCAGATATGCTGACCTCGCGCCCCACGGCGACAGTGAGACAAGGGACAATTGTTGGACGTTTTCAAGAATGTTGTACATGAACAATCAGACATGCGAAATGAATGAACGGTGACGATTACCC